AGTTGGATTTATAGAAAGAGATACCACACTAGAAAGTAAAGTAAAGACTAAGGTCGAGGAGTGATGCCACAACGGTTAAACAGAAAATTTGTTATAGGATTCCCTTAACTTGTCCCTTTTATAAGTTGTAACTTGGTGTCAAGGATGACTTCTCTCAGTGACGATGCCTGCGAAACATCTGGCCTCCCAAGCTAACGGTCCGATGCTAGAAATCATGATTATTCTGGCAGAGGATGCAGGACAAGATACATTCCACAAAGTCTCATTGTTTCTTCGGCCGAGTTGCGAAAACGAGGTTACAATCAAAATTTAAATTCAACTATGAGAAACCAGAAAGTTTAGGAGAGTAAAAAGTTAGAGCCCCATACATACTTGATGCAACAGAGTTGAAAAGTCGTATCCAAATAATAAATGATTAAGGTTTCTAATTATATGAGGCTAATTCCTAGAAGATATTAATCCAAGATATTAATAATCGATGATCAGCTCGTCAAAAGTAAACTATCTGTACTGAGAAAATAGAAGAGCTTGGCATATGAGAAACGCACATTTGCGATTTACGTTGCTAATACATGTATAGTAACAATTTAAATTCATAATAGAAATATTTAAATTTCACTAGCTATGGCTATTGTATATGATTTTAGGAAAAGCAAATAATTATAAGCACTGGCGATAAGCTAAGTATAAATTACCTAATACACTAATAGAGTCTTTATCCTTTACTTCAATTTCTAAATCATGGCGACGATTTGAAAGTATAATAAAAAACAGGTGGACAGGTTAGAAACTGTTGATCTTTTGAGTGAAATGTAGAGAGCCAAGATCCATCTTATTTATGCGCTAAAGGCAAATGTACGTAGGTATATAGGAACAAAAGGTATATGCAAATGAACTACTTTGTATTATTCTAGAAGAATAATCAAACCATTTTAGGCAATCCCTTGTGTAGCTTGAATATGATAAAACGGTATATGATATGACACGATATATTATATTATACTAAATCATGCAATATATATATATATATATATACTTATATATTGTATATTTACCTCAGCTGATACATAGCAGTAATTCATAACAATATTTTTGGATTATTTATTGTTGGTGCTTTCATTTCGTATGAAAGTGTATGAAGAAGAGGTTCGAAGGTCGATCTCACAAGAAGAGGGCGGTTGAATCCCGTTGTACTTCCGCCGTTTGGCTTTTATACGTCGAGATTGATGCAGTCCACGAGACAGCCTCTCTCTTCATACATTTTCATGCAAACTGAAAGTCCCGGAAATAATGTTATCTAAGGAGATTCATCAAAACTCAGTACTCTTGATATCTGGATTATTTAGCCTGTGGTCTGTGTCATTCTACATTTCCTTAGGTTGGATATAACTTATGCAGAGATTATACGCCAAGTTTCATTATTATTTGTAGGAAGCAGCAGAAATATTTTCATGCAATTCGAGTTAGTGTAAATGAACCATATGTTCATATTGTTTATACTCTGTTCTATTTTTCTGTTTAGAATTCCATATTTTTTTGTTCTCATGTAAAAATAGTTTTACTTGCCTGAACAATAATTTGTCTTGATAGAAAAAAATGAAACAAGGCCTAGCATGAACAATCTCTTAATGTTCATAGATAGTACCTTGAGACATAATTTCTACCAAGATTGGTACGAATTTGAGGGAAAATGAACAATTGATATTCTATTTTCTAGTTTGTCTGTATCCACTTGATCAAATATGTGTTGCATTACGGTTTCATTGACATTATTTCCGGATACTTTCTTCTCCAGCTCTTTTACCTCCGCAGCACCTTCTTCCTTATTTAATAACTCGATTTCACTCATACCAAGTGTTTGATTGCCTAGATGCCTAAATTGCGTCCAAGAAGTTGGAATTGCGTGAGTGGCCATTGGTGCACTTGATATTCTCGCTGATCCATAGCTTTTATGGGAACCTATAGAGCAGCTAGCCTGCTGAAATTCAGATCGGCTACAAATATTCCCTGATAGTTTATCATGTCCGGACTTCGAATTGCGTTGAACTTTGGCCCAAACGCGAGACAATGTGTTAGCTGGAATCGAAGGAACCTGGGAAATCATAACACGTCCTGCATTATCCGATTGAGCAGAACTGGTATAGCGACTACTAAAGTCGTCAAAATTATTCAAACAGCTAGGACTTCTCTCAAAATTGCTCAGATAATCTTGGAGAAATCTTTGTGATATATCGTCGAATCGATTTGAATTAGGCTGAAGAGTACTGTGTAGAAATTCCCCATCATTACTCGTTGAAGTACAAACGGGTTGAGGATGTAGAAATGGTAAGGTGGGCTCGTTACCACAAGTTTGAGGAATGCATGATTCGTTCGAAATAGTTTTTGAAGTCCTTAATATCTGTGGTGGCACCTCTAAAGTTTGTCTTGGTAGAGCAGCGCTGTGATAGTAGGGAAGATGATTACTTGAACGAGAAGTAGTATAGTCAGAAGAAGTAAACATCTTCGAAGAGAAATCATGTGGTTTAGTGAGTCGAGATTGGCCATCTTGGTCGGTTGAGGGGTGATATAATCTGAAGAGAAGTTACGGGTAAAATATCACAAGAAATTACTCATAATTAAAATCC